ATCGATGGTCAAGATGGCTTAGCCGCCTGCTTTCCTTTTTTAATGGGGGTGCCGACATCCGCTGACACATGATTAATGTTAACCTCTCTCTCCTATTCTCTCTCTTTCACAGACCTCCCTCTCTCTCTCTTCGCGAACCTCTCTCCTATTCTCTCTCTCTTCAAGAACCTCCCTCTGTCTCTCTTCGTGTACCTCCCTGTCTCAATGTTCAGCAGTAGCGATGGATGTGATGCAACGGTAGCGATGGATGCGAAGGCAGCGATGCAACAGCCATTGAATCCCCTGGGCTTGGGCATCGCCTCTCTCTCTGTATCAGCCATTGAAGCCCTCTCAGCCCCAAACATAGGGATGAATACCTCTCTCTGTAACTGCAGCAGCGTATCCCTCTCTCTCTGTCTATATGCAGCCATTGAAGCCTCTGAGCTTGGACATCTCTCTCTTTTTAGTAACTATTGCCCTTTCATCCCACACCATTAACAACTATTGAAGTCCTCTCGCTCACTCAAAAAAACCTTGGCTGGCCTCTCAACCGTAGCCCACCCCATCTCTAAGGGTACTCTCTCTCTCTGTCTCTCTCTTTGTATTTGACTCAGTCAAATACAATCTATTGTCTACAATTTCCATCGATTTGGGGTTTATTGGGGTTTTTAGACAAAACCATGAGGACCACAGGCATCTCTGTATTGGATGAGATACAAATGCGTCAGATGCTTTCGCATCTCTGTTTTGGAAGAGATAGTTTCTCGTTTGGATCTGTGTTTCCTGTGAACAATAGAGAGGGAGAGTGGTTGCAGTTGTTTTTTGGGGTTGATGTGGGTTTCTGGACTGTTCTTCCTAAGATTGAATGCGAAATCGAAAAATTGGATCATATAGATTAGAGAGAGAAATAGTGAATTCATCGAAGCTTCATGTTATATATTTTGGAATGTGGGTTTTTTGTTTGTTTGCTTGAAACATTTTATCTGATATGATATAAGATTAATTCATTAGATTTGGGAGAGAGTTTTTTGTTGTATTATGATAATTTGGTGAAATGTTGATAATTCCTCATTTACATGTTTAAGAAAAAATTAGGTCCATTACACACGAGCAGCAGATATTATTACAGCACACCATGCCACTTATTTAGTGTTAAAACAAATAAAAAAGAATGCCAAATTGGTTTTCTACACAATTTTGCAAGAACCCAGGTACTCTCGCATAATTTTTTTTTTTCATTGGATAAATTATTTTACTCATTGATTGCTGAGTAAGTTATCTATCATTTGATATATGACAAGATAAATCTCAAGGCAAAAAAAAATACTTTGGTTCAAATAGGTACACAGACATAAAACTGAAACAGTTGAGGGTTGGACCCAAATGTCAGATCCTGGACTGTGATCTTGCAAAATTTAGCCAAAGATAAGGCTTGGAGAAATGACCCAAAAAAAGTGACTTTTGTTCAAATGGGTCTGCTGCCTGTGAAACTAAAACAGTTCTCTGCTGAGGGTTGAACCTCCCCCCCCCCCAAAATATGGGATCCTGGACTATGATCTTGCAAAATTTAACCAAATTTGTAGTGTTTCTGGTTTGGATACAATGTTCGGGAAGCATTGCCCATAATGTTTCTTATAATAAATAAAACAACTTGAAAGAAGCATTTTATTGCTAGTGTAGGTACAACACAACACACTCCAATCCTAGAAGTGACCCATCTTAGTATTGTTCTTGTACATGCAAGCTTAATTTTGGGGTAAGCTAAATATTTTTGGTAGAATTTAAAACCTTCTTACAAAGCGAGTATGATGGCGCATGTGCTTCCCCATGAGATCCAAAACTCTTCTTGCACATGCATGCTTAACTTTACAATTTCAGAGAAAGAGAGGCCTTTTGGTTGATGAATACTGAAAATTACTCATACTAATGTTTAACCACTTTTCATGTTGCTGATTGATTACATTCTAGGCAAGATGAGCTATGTTGTGGGTTTCGAAAACCACAACCCAAAACGTGTGCACCATAGAGTAGCTTCAATCCCTAAGAACAAGATCAAGTACTCCCGCAAGAGTGGGTGGAAATGGGGAGGGACATGCCCAAGCCTAACCCAAACACACTTGTGGGGGCAATGGTGGCAAGACCTGACAAGCACGATGGTTTCAAAGATGTAAGAGGAAACTACAATTACACCGAGCCCACTCTCGCTGGCAATGCTGCTTTGGTTGCTCTCTCTGGTGAGTCACATTCCATCGACAAGAATACCATCTTCACTGTGGTGCCACCCATGTTCCCTAGTCCCCCGCCACCTCTGACTCTTTGGAAACCTTGAGATAGAGACAGAGAGAGATATAGAGGGAGAGAACCACCACCATCCTTTTTAGGATAGCGGTGTTTACTTGTTCTTAAGCTAGAAAGAGAGGGGGGCTAGAGAATGAGGAGAGGTTACATGGGGTCTTTGATGTTGGGGGTTTGTTTGTTCTTAATATTTATTGTGTTCATAGTTTGTAGGTACAATATTCTTGATTGTTTCTCACTTTCTATGTGCTCTGTGTGACATATAGATTGATACTATGTATTTGCTACTACTTTTTTACTCCCCAAAGAGGTATACTAATGATAAAAGAATTATGAAATTTGTGCTCCTCTTTTTGTGCATTTGGTTTCAATATTTGCAAACTCTTTTTAAGTCATGGGACTCTCATTTGAGCAAGATTTCTATAAATATCCAAAAAGGATGCTTAAACTAGTAGATATTAGACTTGATTTGATTTGTAAGCCATTCCAAAGCAGAGCATTTGGAGTCTTTCATCACCTTGGATCTTATGAGAAACTTGTGATCTTGTGCAGTTTAGGCCACTTCAAAAACTACCCAAAACTTATTTTGTGGTTGTTTTACTTTTGCCAGCAGCGACTGGTTGAGATGCACAAGTGTGATATACATTGGGTAGAAAATCTACTTGGGAGTATTTGTTTGATCTAAAATTCTAGGATCCAATACAGAATCACTAGAATGTTCTCAACAAAGAAACCAGACATTATAAGCACTTAGATTTCATTGTCCAAATACGAGTTGATTTCCATTCGATCTTAGGACAATATATTTTTAAGCACTTAACAGAATGCTTGTGAATCCTTTTTTTTTTGTTTTTTTCTGTTGAGGATGGTAGTCTGATCAAAAGGAGGATCCAGGCATCCCACCTTTGAGGGATATTTGGGTGATCTCAATGAAATAAGCATGGAAATTTGCTGAAAAATGGATCTAAAACTCCTTGCTCATTTTAGCTAGAGAAATTCATGTAGCTTGGGCTTATAGTTTAGCAGCCAAAGGCAAAAAAAAGTTTATATAAAGTGCCAACCTTATATTGTAGAAGTAAGGCGCGCTTGAAAAATCTATCTGAAAGGTTGTTCAGATATCAAAACCCTATAGTTAATCATCTTGACCTTGAGATTGTACACTTAACAAATTGAAAGACTCACAATTAGTGAGATGGGCTCTAGTGATAATATATAGCATCTAATAACAATTTGAAATACATTCTACTCAACTAAAAACCTTTCAAGAAACAGGTTGACAAATTATTGCCATAGTGATAATATATTGCATTTTATAACTATAATATTACATACAAATCATCAACTACCTGCCAAATGGGGTAGTCCTTTCAATAACAAAATTCTTCATATAAAGTTCAGTAGTCCTGCCCATTATCAAATAATGGTTCGTTCCTTGTACCCAATCGCCTTACATATCACCTAACAACCCAAAAAGTAGAGAAAAGAGTACAATGGCATACAACCTATATCTTTTTTTTGAGTGAACGGCATAAAACCTACATCAATAATGCCAATAGTTTAACAACAAACTTTTCAAAAAAAAAAAAAACAGCAACATAGCCCCTCCTTTGAAGTTGTTCCATATGAATTTGTCCTCTCTACCTGAGACATAAAACACATTTTGATGAGTGACAATAGTGTTCCAAACGAAATTACAAATATGAACTTACATGCATATACAAATGTTTCAAAATGAACTTGCAAACATGACTTCTAAACAATTGCATTTTACCATCAACTCACATCTGCTGCCTTCTTATGGGTCCGAAGCTTATTACGTGTTTTGTCTTTAGCGCTGTAAGAGGAAGATAAAATTGTAACAAATAGATACTATATACTTGTAATATAAACTCAATGCAACATGGGCGTAAAAACCCAATGGCCAAAAACAAAACTGCAACAAAAAAGTAAACAGGGAAAGAAAATGGGAGAGAGACAATTGAAAAAATAAATAAATGTTTGCAATAGATGTAGTCTAATTTCCAAGAGTAAGTGATTCATTATATGGTGCATCAGATGCCACATGAAGATATTGAAGAGAAATAAGAAACTCAATTTATTTCAATTTTAATAATACCAATCATGCATTCATCAGGCCACAAGTAACATGTTAAAATTTTGTAGTGTGCACTAGCAGCATGCATTCATCAGGCCGCAAGTAACATTTTCCGCAATTGTAGTTCGATACAAATTTAAACATCAACCATCATGTCCTGAAAAAAGAGTACTGATGGTAATTACAAATATTATACAAGTATCATGATACTCATTCGCCTTCAATGGAATCCATTTTTGTTTCCATTGTTACTATGAAAGAATTGGTAAGCCATTAAACAGTCCTGCCCTGTGTTCCCAGTGTTCCCAAAACAAGCACATTCTTAACAAAATTCAGCCAATATTTTATGCCACATTCATGTAATATTCATTTAGGGAATAAGGTAGCTATGGACGGGGAAGAGTATATACAAAGACATATATATTCACAGATATTTGCATCTACAAGATATCTGTATTGGGTATCTTTTACCTCACCATGCAATGTAAGATTACCATTATCACCAATTACATTTTACAAAACTAGAAGTGCATGAACATCCATTCACCACAATGGAGTCAAGAACCCATGATGCTCTCAATTTTTAATACCCGTAAAGATATATGAGAAAAAAGAAGAAGAAAGGTACAAAGGATGCAAGATGGATTTGGCTTTTGCGGTATTGGAGGTGCTGTGAAAAAACTAGATAATAATCCTGAGAACAAGGTGGGATTTTTATAATCTTTGTTTCTCTGTTATGCCTTTAATTGAATCTTTTAGGCATGTCTCAAGGAATTGGATTTTTTCTCCATAATGAATGTCTAGAGACTCTTATAATTTAATAGGGGTTGAAAAGACTTTCAAGTCTGAATTGTTTGTCAGTATTTTTGCTTAGTTTCTTTATATGGCCACCTGTTGTATTGCTCTTTATTTTCATCTTTTACAGTGTTCTGTTATCTAAACTTTCTTTTAGTTTTTGCTTAGTTTTTTTTATCTGGTCACCTGTTGTATTGTTCTTTATTTTCATCTTTTACAGTGTTCTGTTATCTAAACTTTGCTTTAGTAAATTCAATGTGTGAAGCATTTTGACTATTTGAGTTTCATTTCTGTTATAATAGGTATTCTTTAAGGATGTTGCTAGTTGTGATGAAGCAAAGCAGGAGATTATGGAGTTTGTGCATTTTTTGAAGAATCCAAAGAAATATGAGGAAATAGGTGCTAAAATTCTAAAAGGTGCCCTTCTTGTTGGACCTCCTGGTGCTGGTAAGACTCTTCTTGCAAAAGCTACTGCTGGTGAATTTGGTGTGCCATTTCTATCAATTTCTGGTTCAGAATTTGTGGAAATGTTTGTTGGTGTTGGAGCTTCAAGAGTGAGGAAATTATTTCAAGAAGCTAGGAAATGTGAACCTAGCATTATATTATTGATGAAATTGATTCTATTGGTGGAGCAAGAGGACATGGGAAATTCACTGGTGGAAATAGTGAACATGAAACCACTCTCAATCAGTTACTTGTGGAAATGGATGGGTTTGGTACAACTTCAGGAGTAGTTGTACTTGCAGCCACTAACAGGCCAGATATTCTAAACAAGGCTCTTTTGAGGCCAGGTCGATTTGATCGACATATCGAAATTGACAAACGTGATATCAAAGGTCGTGACCAGATCTTTCAAATCTATCTGAAGAAAATAAAGCTTGATAACAGTCCAACATACCTTTCTCAGAGATTGGCAGCTCTTACTCTTGGATTTGCTGGAGCTGGCATAGCAAAAGTTTGTAATGAAGCTGCAGTGATAGCTATCAAAAATGATAGGACGCATGTCACCATGGAACATTTTGAAGCTGCTATAGATAGGATCATTGGTGGTCTAGAAAAGAAAAATAGGGTCGACATGTTTCTTCTTTTTTGTTCTTTCATGCGATATTTATGTGTTTATGTAGCTGAGTGGATATGTGTTTCTATCTTATTTCATTTTATGCCATGTCCCAATTCATTTGACATTCTATTGTTTAAAATGGTTTGTATTGCTGCCTAATATCATTTCATTGTTTTTCGGTCTCTTCTGAACCGAGTTACTTGCGTAAATGGAGTTTGTTATTTCCCCTCACATTTGAGGTGTTGGTTTTTAAAGAAGATGCATTGTTTAGTTTGATCTTTAAAATTTCTTAAGAAATATTTAAAGCAAGACTTCTTCTCTTATTTTGCTTGTGAAACACTGAAGATTGGCCCTGCAGTAGTTGACATCATGCTAGATCTTTTATGAAGTAACAATGAGTAGCCCTGCAGTAGTTAAGGTTATGATACATGTTCTTCAAGCTACTACAAATTGGTGTTTATTATTAATTTGAGTCAGAGGGGACAACTATAGTCTTCTTTCTCTTTCATTTTGCCCTTATGCAAAAGCAATCTTTTCACCAGATAAGGATTTTTTCTTCAATATTTTTATTTGCTTCTAAAATAATCAAGAATTAGGATGGCAATTTTGTCTAGTTTCATGTGTCAAGTTGAGCTTTGAAGTTCTTTCCCTTTTGCATGTCATTCTGATAATGTATCTATGCATCGCTCCATGCAGGTAATGAGAAAGTTGGAACGCCGGACTGTTGCATATCATGAAGCTGGCCATGCAGTTGCAGGATGGTTCTTGGAGTATGCAGAGCCTTTGTTTAAAGTCACAATTGTGCGGCGAGGCACTGCGGCCCTGGGCTTTGCACAGTATATACCCAATGAAAACCTCCTTATGACCAAGGAGCAGCTCTTCGACATAACATGCATGACCCTTGGTGGCCGTGCTTCTGAACAGGTATCCACCTCTCTCTCCACCCCCCTGACTTAGCTCTGCTTTATGGGAAAGAAAATATAATCATAATCGGTTCCCTGATTTATTACATGTACAGATTTTGTTGGGGAAGATCTCGACTGGGGCTCAGGATGACTTGGAGAAGGAGACAAAGATGACATATGCCCAAGTCGCAGTTTATGGTTTCAGTGAGAAGGTGGGGCTCCTCTCCTTCCCCCAAAAGGACGAGGGGTATGAGAGGACCAAGCCTTATAGCAATAGGACTGAGGAGATCATAGACAAGGAAGTGAGAGATTGGATAACCAAAGCATACGACCGAACATTGGAACTCATTGAGGAAAAACGAGGGCAAGTAGTGAAGATCGCAGAGCTATTACTCCAAAAAGAGGTTTTGCACAAACATGACTTATTGAAAATGCTTGGTGAACGCCCCTTCATGTCAAGCGAACCAACCAACTATGACCCCTTTACAAAGGGATTTCAGGACGAGCAGCAACCAGGATGATACGACATCTCTTGACGGTGTCGTGGTCCCTATATACAAACTCTAAATGATGATATATATGTGTTAGTCTCTCCCCAAATATAGCTGAAATTGTACAGATTTTTTTCATTTCATAGAATTGTGGTTCCGATTTCATATTGTAGTGACTTCATTCCATAGAATTGTGGTTCTGATTCCGATTTCATATTGTAGTGACAGGTAACGGTATCTTTGTGTGGATCCGGGAGTCTCAAGAGGCTTGAATTAATCATTTTTTTGTTTCTTTTTCCTTTTAAGAGACAATTGCAGTCTTCCAATGTTTTCCTTGATGTATGTTGGATGAATGTGGCTATCAAAGGTTTTATTAGTGCTTGTAATGAAACATTTGATATAATTGAACAAGAACTCAGTGGGGGTGTGGTCTCTTGTGGACAATACTAAACAAATAACAATTGCAGATACCGAATTGTGCTTGATGGTATATGCTAGTCGGTTGCGAAAAACCTATGTTACCTTGGCATAGAGATCTATTCTAACCGATAAGGGTTCTAATAGGTCATCCTTAGATGAAGTCGAAGTATGCCCGAATGAGTAAGCCGGAAGCCGAATGACTGTGTGATGGGCCCACAGCCTCATTTACGTACCATCTTCAGGTGAAGATGCATAATGATAGCTTATTTATCTACCATCGTCAGGTGAAGATGCATAATGATAGCTTTCTCGAATGACTGTGTGTACCATCTTTTAGGGTGAAGATGCATAATGATAGCTTTCTCAAGAAAGCGAACCACCCTTTAGGGTGAAGCTCTTGTATGTGCAAGAGATACCCTCTCTTTCAAGAAAGCGAACTACCTTTTAGGGTGAAGCTCTTACATGTGCAAGAGATACCCCCGCTTTCTCAAGAAAGCGAACCACCTTTTAAGGTGACGCTCTTGCATGTGCATGAGATACCCTATGCGCCTTCGGGAAAGCGAACCTATACGCTTTCGGGAAAGCGAACCACCTTTTAAGGCGAAGCTTATGTATGTGCAAGAGATACCCCTATGCGCTTTCAGAAAGCGAACTTATGTATGTGTGAGAGATACCCCTATGTGCTTTCGGGAAAGCGAACTTATGTATGTGCAAAAGATACCCCTGTGTGCCTTGGGGAAAGGGCACTTATGTATGTACAAGAGATACTCGTATGCGCTTTCGGGAAAGCGAACTACCTTTTAGGGTGAAGCTTATGTATGTGCAAGAGATGCCCCTATGCGCTTTCGGGAAAATGAACCACCTTTGAGGGTGAAGCTTATGTATGTGCAAGAGATACTCCTATGCGCTTCGGGAAAGCGAACCACCTTTTAGGGTGAAGTTTATGTATGTGCAAGTGATACGAACCACCTTTTAGGGTGAAGTCTATGTATGTGCAAGAGATACCCCAATGTGCTTTCGAAAAAGCGAACCGCCTTTTAAGGTAAAGTTTATGTATGTGCAAGAGATACCCCTATGCGTTACGACCCATTGACTCATCAACCAGACTTTGGTAATTCACTAATGAGCTCCGTATAGACTGTAGGTCATAGGTCACTTGATAAAGCAAGTGTGGATCGTAGTCTACAATTAAAGGTGGAGTGCCCTAGCTTTTTTATTCCTAGACCATATGGATCCTTATCCCACCTAAATAATTTGATTGTCTTTATTTTATAATGATATGATTTTAAAATTATTATTTGAATTTTTTTAGATCTCTAGATATTTTATTTATAAAATTTGGATTTATAAAAACAGAGATAATAATTTTTTAATGCTTTAAATTTTCAAATTAATTCTAAAAATCATTTATTCATTTTTAATATTTAAAAATAGCATTAGGACCCATTGGCCCACCATGCCCTAAGTTGGTAGGGCCAAACATGGGTGGCCCCGATTTGGGGTCGCCTATTCCCATGGGGTGCACGCCCCAATGAGATTTGGGACCTCCTATTCCCATGGGGTGCATGCCCCAATGAGATTTGGGATAAGCTTCCTATTTTCATGGGTGGCACGCCGCGCGAGCTTTCCTATCCTATTGGCATAAGTTGTTAAGAGTGATAACTTTGGCTCAAGGCCAAGTTATTTTGAGATAAGTGTTTTTATTTGAGTGAATCTTTTAAAAAGCTTGATAAAGCTCATTTATATTTTAGATAAAAGAAAATAAAAGTTTCAAAATATTATGTAGGATGTTGTCTCCCTAATGGCAGAATGGATGGCTCAAATCTCTCACCTCACAAGTTACCTATAAACATCTCTTCAATCCAAAAAAAAGCAAACCATAGAAAACCGTTATCTTAATTTTTAGCATTATAAAGAGAAGACCCGTACCAATAATTTGTTACGTCAAAATTTCTCTCTTTTTGATATTGAACAGGGGCACGCCCCACTTATTTGGATTACTTTTTCTCTCTCTCCTTGATATTAAAAGGAGGGGCACGCCCCCACCTATTTTGGATTAGGTCTCTCTCTCGATCAACTTGATTTGATAAAGAGGGTTGCTACTTTGATAAAGAGGGTTACTTAGTAGCAAGTAAATTTCATCTTACTTGAAATAGGTTTTATGTTTTTTTTACTAAGAGTTCACCGTTCCATTGAGAATTTTTTTACTAAGAGTTCACCGTTTCATTATCTCAATTGAGAGTGAAGGTTGATCGTTGATCCCGTGCCGTGAGTTGACATGAGGTGTAATAAGTTGGGGTGAGATAATCTCTAGTATTCTTTCTTTTTTTTTTTTTTTTAATTACATTTGTTTTTGCATTTCTCAAGCTTGAGAAGTAATGATTATTTTTCTTTGTTTAAAAAATTTAAGTTTAATGGCTAAAAGGTTTTAAGATCTTTACTGGTTTTATTTTTATTTTTTTTGAAGCAATAATTATTATAACAAGACCGTTTGTAAGTGATCTTTACCGAAACAAAAAGAGGTGAAA